CAGCTCAGCGAGCATCGCGTTTTCCTTTTGCATCAATATTGACGGCAGCGGCCAGCTTGCGAGCAGGCACGGGTGCCAGCATAACAGCGTGGGAGGAGCAGAGCGCTCCGTGGCCAGGCTGGCACAGTGGCAGGGGTAGAAGGCTGGCAAACAAGCACCTACCAAAGCCAAAACACACTCTTAACACTGGGATGGCTTCTTTTGTTGGGGTGGAGGGGGCAGTAGAGGAGGGGACGGGTGGTGTAAACCAAGTCAGCATCTAGTTTGGCTGAGCTAAGCCATACCTTCAACAGGAAGACTCTGCCCTTTAGCCCATCTCCTTGTTTTAGCCAAGTGGTATTGCTGCAGCCACAGGTTGGGGCTGCAGCAGCTGAGAGCCATAGCAGGGTGTGTTGGTCAAGCTATGAATAGCAGCACCCCAAGCCCTTTTTTCCTTTTCCTTTAAAGATTTAGCAGCTATTTTCCTAGTCTAGAGAGGTTTGTGCTCCTCGCCAGATTCCCTATGGATACCTACTGAAACATTTCTGCCTACTGAAGTGTTTCCGATGGATTTCTGTGCCTGTCCTGGCCCTACTGCAGAGACTGTGTAGAGGACAAAAAAACCAGAACAACTCCGCAGAGTTGCATCCCTAAAAGTGGTGACATCTCAGTGCTCCTTCTATTTTCTCTTCTGTGATGCTAGATTTGTGATTACATAGTGCTCCATGATCCTCTCATGAAAACCAGTACAGAAATATTAATTACAATTTTTTAATTGTATGTGAAAACTTTAATAAACGATTAGAAACAATCACATGTGAAGGCAGACCAGGAGTACCGCTGCTTGCTTTTTTCTTCCCTTTCGTGTGTGAACATTTGTAACGCTACTTTTTAAGTTATGGTGCAGTACTATGTTTTCCTTTGAAGAGGTACTAAGCAAAAATTCAAAATCAGAACACTAAAAAAGGGGGCAAAACCAGTTCTCTGCCTGTGTGTATGCATACCTATGTTCAATGCTAAAATCCAATCCTGCCCTCCCTGAAGGAGTCCACACATTTTTCTTTTGCTCTGCCACTCCTTCTCCTGACCCACCCCCTTTCTCCTAGGATGGTTAAAATGCAGGAAGTACTGGTAGCGGGGAAGAGGTGCCCTCCCGTTTCAAGGCATGTTGCTACTGAAAGACTGCGAAGCACAAAAAAAAGCCCCTGGCGCTGCCCCGGTATCTTGGCTGCAACAGCTCCCATCCCCAAGCATCATCGTAGCCCGTGTGCCATCAGCCAGAATCTCCAGAGAATGGCCAGCAGCAAAGGTGAGAAATATGTTGGCAAACACGATAACAAAATACTATCAAAATAGGCTAAAAAGCAAGAAAAGCACACATTAGCACTTCTGTGATGGTTCCAGAAGGGTCCACAGGAAAGAGGGGCTGACCCTGAGCGCCGGGGGCTGCAGCCTTTCAGAGGGAAAAGGCTGTAAGGCTGCTCGCTGCCAGGTGGCAGCCACACTGCTTTAAACCCCCTGCGTCTTGACGACTTATCAGTGCTCTTCATTAACACCGATCTATATTATTGCTCCGGTGGCTATTTACTTCCATTCAGAAAAGTTGGATCAAATCATACAGATTTTTTTATTTATTTATTTTTGGTTTTACCCAGAACACATAAAGGCAGTCTCCTGCAGGAGGAAATGAATGATAGATTTGGGTGTTGATGGAGAAAGCAAACAAGTACTTCTGGATTATATTAATGTGATCTTAAAATAGTGGGAAAGTTTTCTTTTATGACATTGACAGAGAGGCAATGATTTTGAGTAATGCAGGTTGATGTGAAGATGCTTTAAGATTAAATAAGTGCTATATAAAGGCCTGTCAGCCTGAATTCTAATGTGCTATGAGACATTTTGCATATTTAAGAGTATGCAAAATGTCTTGTACCACACTGGAATTCATTCTGACAAGGCTTTATATAGCATTTATTTACACTCATATTGTACTTTAAGGGAGAAGGGACAACACTGGCTCCTCTTTGAATAGAAGTAACAAAAGGTGATGCTAATTGCTCCGTTTCCTTCTCCGAAAAAGAAAATAAAACCAAAAAAACCCCACAACACAAAAAATAAAATAAAAGCAATCAAAAGTGGAAGCTTGTTTAATATTGCTCTACCATCATCCTGAAAGGCATAATAATTTGAGTTACACATCTGAACTGATTGGAGTTACAGAATCATATCTCCTTTTTGCATTTAACAATATATACAATATAAAATAAATACATTTACACAAATGGACATTGGTTGGAGCACACGGTATGATACACATCACAAAAATATACAGTTGATTGCTATACAGATGTGAAGCCCATCTACAGCTATAGACATGTTTGTTTTTATTTGTTGTTTTGTTTCGGTTTTTAACTACTGGCTATTATGCAACTCCTGGATTATTATAAGCAATTTAATTTTTTTTGTCCTTTTGCGATCTTTGCACGATAAGACTGCCATAAAATGTTTTCCTAGGCAGGTAAACAGAGACGCTTAAATAATTAAAATACAATCACCAACACCCATTTTCTCTTCTATAAGAAAAATAGCAGTTTTAATTTTTTATATCTTTTTATGTTATCATTTAAATGCAAAATAGTGGAATAAATACAACAATCTGATCTGATTGAAACAAATGTGTAACTTCTGGGAGTTACACAATCATATTGCTTTAAATAAGAAAAAATTAAAAAATGAAGCAAAAATAGAAATTAAATCGTTATGGCTAAAACATACACCCTTTGAAATTTTCCCAACACTTCACATTACGCAAGTGGTCTTGAAAGAACTCTTCTCCAGCAAGGTTTAAGATGAACAACATTATAAAGCCCGTGCAGTTCTCTGAGCTATGTTTCAGGTAATGTTTTTACAGTCTTGAGATACTTGTTCTTTTGCAGCTCCAAAAAATTACGGAAAATGAAAACTAAAGTTTGCACCATGTGCCTTTAACACATCTCCATTTTTTGTGTGTTTCTGTATACTTCTAGTTGATTGGCTTTTGACCCTGAAGCCCAAGTTCTTTAATGTGATACAGCAAAAACAATATTTATATTATATATTTATATATATATAGTGTACTTGAACAGTAGCAACTTAAACCCTGCACAAATTTCTGGAAAATAAACTTTTTTTTTGCACTCTTACATATATAAATAATCTTATAGAATCAGCACCTTTTTCCCAGGAGTTGTATTTTTTTTTGACATTTTTCAAAAGGGATGTGCCAATTTCTGAACTCCTATCACAGCTATAAATTTCAAGTTATTGACCATCTGAATGAATTGCTAATGATGATTTACCTAGAATCACACTACAGTCACTTCTCTACTGAGAAAACACAATCTACAATATAGTCCCATATAGCTAATGATAGATACACAGTTTTTTTTTTTCCTAGCACGAGGCCGATGGAGCATCAGCCCATTGTTATTTTGTTTAAAGCACACAACGTAGCAATAGTTTTGGAAACTTGTCCGCACCAAAAAAGTTTTGCAACAACACAGAGCGAGTTAATAACAACATCTGAGAGATGATTGAATAAAAGCTATATTTACAGCGTTTAAAAATTAGACTTATCTATAATCTTGAAATATTCAAAGTTTTATTTCTAAGCTATACATTGGTATTCTATAATAAACTGTTACAGAAATTATCCCTTGTTTTGAAAATATTATGATTTCAATGTGTATCTGTTCATAACGAGTATCTGTTTGGAGTTTCGACCTCTTAATTATTACTAGGAAGAACCTTATTACCGGTAAGGAATAGAATATACTACTGTAATCTCCTGAGGAATTGTACATCCAATATTGTCTCTAATTCTACCCTGTGTCTATAAGCACACACCACAAGAATCCAAACACCACAAGAAGAACAAGACAACAGTCTTTGAATGCAACATAAAAATTCAGAAAAGCACAGCAAACATGAAACATTGAAAAGCTGAACTACATTTCTTTTGTTTGTTAGGATTACAATTTTAATTACATCTGTGTACATAGAATAAGGATGTTCACATAGTACAGGGAGCAGCTACTAACACTGGTACATTGGTATAGCATTTGATGGAGGTTATTGTTTATTGGTTATTTAGCGACTGTAGTTTTCTGGGGGCATCTAATCGGTTTATATATTAGATTACACCTCGTAACAGTCTTGAAACTGACTGACTTTCATGCTGTGACAATACTGGTTGAAAAGCACATATACTGGTTTAGCTACTTGTTAAAGTTTGCCATTTACAAAAGAAAATCTAAATCAATAAATAAGGTATAGAAGTGTTAAATTCTTCAATTTGGTCAGAAGTCTACTACTCTGATTTCTTAATTTTGCAAACGGCGGCATGTGCCTTATTGCGCCTCTAAGCTACTATTGGTTCATAGGGTTTTTCTGCGCGTGAGGTTACAGTTTTGCAAACAGGCAGTATATCGTTCATTTGCAACTGAAGCAGTTAGAAATCACGTAGCAACTATACCTCTGTACAGTTGCTGTCTCCTAACACCATGACAGATTGGTATTTGACATGGAGTATTTCTACGTTAGCCTACTCGGATATACTGTAGGTGTAATCTAATCCTTTGAGTCAGTGAACATTTAGTTATAAACTGGAGCTCATGTTAAGAAACTGGATGTTTTGGACCAGACTGGCACACAACATAAATTGCATCCGTGATAATATGCACCTTCCCTTCAACTATTGCTTTAGTAAGATAAATTCCCACATTAATAAATGGCTGAAAACTGGTAAAGCTGGTACAAAAAAATCTCTGTTAGTAAGAAGAAACAAAACATTTTAAAAAATCTTCCTTCAGGATTCATTTGTCCTTCATTATTGTTCATCATTGTTCAAGCCAGCACAAAAATGCAGTATTTCTTTCTCTTTAGTATTGCATGAATGAATAAAGCTTAAACTATTCCCTGAAAAAGTTACATTGTAGCTAACCTAAGAAATATCTGGAAGACTTGAAAAAACAATTAAGGAATCAAATGGCTGTAACTGATCTAGATGGAAAATGCAATGGTAAGAAGCAGCCGATGCATCGTCGCTTAGTCGTCTAATTAGAGACTGCTCCTATGAAATCTAATACTGCATTCAGTCAGTTCATCGTGTTGTACTGTACTGCTAGGTACGGTGGTTCTCTCTTTGATTCCTTTGTCATTGGGGACATTATGGTTCATAATAAGTTCACTGGCATCCATATTATGGATTTCCATCCTTTGGCAGGCCTGGCTTCCATCTCTCTTCAATTAGAGACCTCTTTTAAAAAGTTCAGCAGCAAAGAAAAAGAAAAGGAAAAAGGAAAGGAAAGAACAGAAAGGAAAAGAGAGAAAAGGAAAAGAAAAACTGCATCAGAAAGACACAGAAGAAAAAGTTGAAAGCTGCTTCACAGTCTTGCTGCTAAATATCAGTGCAGTCATTTTTTCCTTAATTAAACACTAAGTTTCTTTGCCATTATTATCCTGTTTATTTTCCTTTTTTTTTTTTTTTTTTGTTAAAACGTGCATGATGGGAAAGCCCATGATGCTTTAGTCAGACCTTGGCCTCCAGCATTTCCAAAAAAAGTTTGTGCATGGGGACTTTGCCTTCCAGTTTGATGTTGTAGAAATGCTGCACAGCCTTGGTGGAGGTTTGCCTCAGAAGTGGGAGCGTCATCAACATCTTGCCTGCACGACGTGGGTCTTCCATGTGCTGCCCGGCCTCGTAATCCTGCAGAGCCTCGTGTAAGACGTCCTGAAGTTTCTGCACTGCCTCAACGTCCTCTATGTGCATTGAGTCTGCAAAACAAAGGAGCAACAGGAGGTTTCAGTTGGGTCTGCCGGACCTCAGACCGCTCTATGGCTGCACACCACTTTCACTGGTCCTGTCCAACCTCTTTCACAAAAAAGGAAGATAATGACCTTCAGAAAAATTCCAGGAACCACTGTAGAACTACAACTATAAAATTAACTCTGATGTAAGTAATCCTTCTCCTCATCCTCCTCAATCTAGTAAAATGGTCTCCCTCACTGCTCCATAAACCATCTCCCACAGTTAATGCCTTGAAGAAATGATAGCGCTGAAGGGCTGCATGAACTGAGGTTTGTGTTTTAGCAGGGAAGCAGGAATGACTGCCCTGCTACTGAAAAGCTTGGTAAAATTCTGTGTCAGGCTCCCAGGCTCTGGAGTTGGAAGTCATGGTCATTACCCACCTGCTCAGGGACACTAACCACAGGATTAGGACCACTGCACTGACATAAGGGAAAAGCAGGTTTGGTGTGATTTCCTGATAGGTTTAGCAAATTTTTTCGCCTCAGGCACATTTAGACAGCCAGGCAGCACTTAATATGTTCCTGAACAGCTTTTGCTCTGTGAAGTAAACATCTACAAGGTGTAACCCTTCTCTCCCACCCACTTAGAGGGTGGTTTATTTTGTTATTGTTGGCATTTTGAAATTTTTTGAAATCACTCAAAGCAAGCACCTTGCCCTGTACCTTTCTAGGTGAGATGTTTCAGTAGTGTTAAGTATTGAGTGACAAGCCTAGACACAACGCATACCAGGAACTAAACTAAACCCCTACATGACCCGGAAAGATTAAAGCAATGGAAGTGTTAAATAAAAATACAAGATCTAACTGAAATAACTGTAAAACCCAGCATAGATACAGCATAGATACAGAAAGGGAAGATGTCCCTGGGAACACGCAGTTCAGATGACTTGGGATGAGCAGCCCTAATTCTCTGACTTTTATGTAGTCGTAAATGCCAAAAAAAACCCTGATGTGGTCCAAGTGAGGTGAATGCAATTAAGGAAGAACAGTCATAGGTGAAAGAGGCCACCAAACAGCCCCTGTCAGCTACCAAAATTTGGATGGTCCACAGACTTACAGAGCCAATAAAGCACCCAATTAAAATATAACTTCTGTGAGGGGTACAAGTCCTAGGGACAAGTCCTAAGTCCAAGCTTAGCTCAGGGTGAAACTGGGACATGGCATTATTAAAGTATATCCTTGAAAACTCCAGTTAGTACAACGCTGCTCTGCATCTTAATTTTGGGGTTTGGAATAAAGCTCCTGTTCCTGGACAGAATAATAGCTGAGAAGCTGGAGTACGAAGAACCCACTTCTACCATCATTTCCAAGCCCTTCATTAAAGCAGTCTGATGCCCTGAATCAGTATTTTGACAGAGCCTTATGTTTTACCTTGTTGATGATAACAACATCAAATTTCGCACGTGTTTCAAATACCTGAATTACATTCAGAGAATTAAGATACATCTAAGATTCATTTCCTAAAAGCTGACATGCAACTATTTCCTCAGATAATTAGGCCAGATAGTAAACACCTCTCTCTTTTCACACACAAACCAAAACACGAACCAGCAAGTAACAGGTTAACAAAAATGTTCCAGCTTCTATTGTCAAAACAAATGTGCAAATTGAAAAGAAAAAAAATAAAAGTTACAGCTCTCGCTCTAAAACAGACACTTAATTATATACAAGTTTGGATCATTTAGCACGTTTTATTGATTCTGATGACAGTTTATCTGTTAATTACACATAATGGACTCCTATGGGAATTTTACATGTTTAATAATTCTGAGTCTTAGCGAATACATGCTCTAAGAAGCGTGCAGTGAAGACATACACTGCAGGGATGTGATACTGCACATCAAGGTGCACTGTGCTGAAAGCAGAGAAACACAAAAATTCTCTCTCAGGGAAAAAGAAGACTACAACATTTTAGAAAAGATGACAGGGAAATGTTACCTCTAGCAAAATTTAGCTCTAATTAACGTGAGACCATTTCCCAGATCCATCCATTTTTGATAGCTTTCTAATATGGCAATTCTATTAAATAATTCCCTGAATTCTGTGTCCTACAAAGAGATGCAATCGGTACAGACATGCTAACACACACACGTACAAGTGTGCCTGATGTCTTAAGCACGGTGTCCAACCACCGGGCCTAATTTGGACTGCAAACTCCAAACAAATTGTCTTTATCTTCATCTTTACTCCCTGACTCTTCAGCCAGTCCTTGGATATTCACTGTAGTGCTACAGAACACACCACATGCTACTCCAAATAATTTTTCCATAAACCATGCACAGTTTGTGCAGAATTTGCACATCTTTTCCCCCTCTCCCCAGACCCACAGCACCAGGGCCAGATCTGCTGGGGAACCAAAGAGGAACATTTTATCAGCAACAAAATGCTTGGTGAGTCGAAGACCGACTGTTCTTGTGAATATTTTTTCAGACCATACTGCACAAAGAGACAGGTCTTTCTGTAGAACCTGACTATAAACGTTTATTATTTAACCCTATACAAAATCAGTCTGATTCTTCCCAGAACCAGTATTTGTAGCTGTTACCATGCCTGATGGAATCCAGAATTATATATTTTTTGCACAGAGAAGAAACTTCTCCGAGATCTTTAGCTCTGCAGTTTTGAATAGCAATCTGGCCTGCAGCATTAAGAATATATATATATGCTCTATGTATTTCTTACACAGAAACTGAGTGAGGAGGAAAAAGAGGAAGAGAGCACCCCCAGAACGTGCAAGAAGGGAAGATGAACAAAACCCTGCCCTCTGCTGCAGCTATTACACACCCTGCTCTCGAACTTTTCCGCTGTGTGGACAACATCTTAAAACCAGGGATCTTACCCTCTCCTCGCAGGGGTGATTGTGTACCATCCCTCTGGTAAACAGAGCAATTGCTTACAGAGAAAAGTGATAGTAGTAAAGCATTTAATGTATTTGTTGCTGTCTTTGAAATCAATTTAGCAGCTGGGAAGAACGTGACCAGCCAGCTCTCTGCTGGCCTGATGCAAGCGCTGTACTGCCAAACCGTGGTTCATGGAGCAGTTTAGGAAGCTGTGCCTTGGGAAACAGATTCTGTCACACAAAATCGGGTAAGAAAAAAAGAGCAGAGAATGGGGCACTTCCAAACAGTGATTATGACTTCAAACTGTCCTTTTAAAATGGAGATTTAGCCTGAAAGACTTAAAAATTATTTAATAAAATTACTATGATAATTTAACTTCCCAATTACAGAAAAGATTCAAACTCATTTCAGCTTTACCCATTCTGGCGCCTGGTAACGTTTAAATGCAAACTCACTAAATCTGTGCTATTTAATTAGACCATGATTCAGCTCTCAAATTGCTCAGGAAAATATTAATCTCTACAAAGATCCTTCTTCAAGTTTTAGCCTTGCAGTCTGGAACTTCCACTTTATTCCCAATATTAAACGAATGTAGATCTTAATCCCTCAGGCATAAGCCTTTGAAAATAAGGAAAATGGTTGAAAACGCTGAACTAGCCAAGGGGAAAAGAGAAGGAAAAATGAAAGAAAAGAGAAATCTTTTCAGTAACTACAGACTGGCAGATGTAGAAGTGAATTCAGAACAGGTTAACTTATTGCTGATAAACCCAATCCTCACTAGTGAGAGAGGGCAATGTCAACAAGAACCACTATAATTTTAAGAAAATGCAGAGTCTGCATGATAATCCAGAAAGAAAAAAAGAATTCCACAGACAATAGGAAATTGAATTATAAGCTAGGTACAACGATTTTTAATGTTCTTCCTATACCAAGAAAAACCCTTTTATTTTGTTTTTGGGTTGTTTTTTTATTAAGTGGCTTTGTAGACAGTGTGGATAATTTACAATTACATCCTACACAGGTAATATCCAGAGGAAACCCGCATCCAGATGTAATACACTGATAAACTAGTGCCTATATAAACAATGAAATTAAACAGGGTAATTTGAAAGTGTTGTCATTTAAAAGCAAGCAGGATTTGATCATAAATGCCCTGCAATAAAAAAAAGACCCCAAGCTGGTGAAACTGAAGAGCTCAACAGACACACATGAGACGGACGTGTCGATACAACGCACTGCTGAGAACATGGGGGTTCAGTCTAGCAGGTAGGAAAAGTTGATACTGATCAGTGCTGCGATGCGAGACAGCGAGATCCACAAATAAGGACATCAACTCCTTGAGCTCTGCTTGGAGAATCTTGTTCTATCCTTGCAAATGCTTTCTTTCACCAACACAGGATGGGAAAATGGAGCTGTACCTCTTCTGATCGGGCAACTGATTGTATCATTGTGCAGAAATAGGAGAAAACCAGAGTGCTCATCTGAGAAAAACACTACAAGGTCCAGACAGAAATTCAGATTACAATCTACCTCGTTTAAAATTCAAGCTTCATCTCAAATGCAGCAAACAAACATTCAGGCTTCTAGCTAAAGATTGGAAAGCACCTGAACTGCGGGCAAGGAGACCTCTCAAAAAACTGCTCTGAGGAAAGTTAAAGGCTGGTATGTATGTATTTTGTATATAGCATCACTGAGAAGCGGTAGAAACCCAGGGGCCTCAAATGAAGTATTTATCTAAGTCAGAAAATTCAGGCAGTGTAAAGGAAGAAATTATTATAGTGAATCAAGCAGCAGGGAGTATGCGGCAGCCAATGCACACATTAAGATGCTGATAAAGCACATCAGAGAGGCAAATACCAACAAGTACTTGAAAGACAGCAATTGCTGCGATGTCTGTTATTCCGTACAGCTGAGCAGCTCACAAACCCACACTGGATAAATCCGTTTAGGAAGTTGTAGGATTCTGGAAGAACTGGATGGGATGAAGAGCAAGAACAGCAGGCAAAATGGTTTTTGCTTGATATAAGGACACCAAAATCCTAATCTGGATTATGTCTCAAATAAGAGTTATCTAGATTGTACTGCCAATCCAAAAACCACCACAGGGTTTATTGTTGGGTGAACTGT